AGCAAAATGGTTAGTGATACGAGGTGATTCTAGGCAATGTTCTTCCCATCAAATCTGTCCAATGCTCTTCTCAATCTAGAGATACTAAAAATCTATCAAGCTTAGAGCAAGTTGGATTAGCTTGAAGGTTAGACCAAGTAAAACTAGAATGCCCGAGAGGGAAATCTTTTAGTTCAAAAGCCTCTATGAGCTCATTGAATTTCCTTATACTTGTACTGACTCTTCCCCTACCTCCATTTGTTTCTTCCAAATATCTGATTATGTTAAAATCTCCCCCTAAACACTAGGGTCCCTCCCACAACCCTCTAATATCTGCTAGTTCTAAAACAAAAATTTCTTTATATGAGTTTGGCCTGTATACATTTGTAAGAACCCATTCAAACCCATCATGTGCATTCCTCACCAGTTCTTCCCCTAGTGCTTAAGCACCATTCTAACTACCAAGTCAACCACACGGGGTCCTCCCCCATCTGCAATCCTTTTCCATTTACTAACCCATTTGTACACCTCTCAAGATCACCTTGTGATTTTAACACCTCAAATTCATGGTTCTCACCCCTCACAAGTTTCTCACCTACTCCGTCTTCTCCCCCTTCTCCCCCTTTAGAAACTAACATGGGCATCTTCGAAACAGGGATGGGAGCTGGTAAGTATGTAGAGGTAGAGGAAAACCAGTTAGTACCCAAATTTAAACCACTAGAATTACAGAGCTTATCGAGAGAAAGAGGTGTAATTAGCACGAGTGGTGGGAAAACTTCTGTTATGTTTCCCTATTTTGTCTCAGTGTTTTCCCACACCCACAAAGTCAACCCTATCAAATTGGAAATGTATCATGTATGCATCAATCTATGCCAAGCCTAGATTTGTTTCCTTAACCAGATTAGCTGATGAAGTTAGCCTATTCCCCTACGCATCCACCTATTGGACACCCTATACTTGCACTATACTAGAAATGGTTCCTCACTTTATTGATTACCAGTTGACCCCTGCTACAACTGGCAAGGTTTGTTTAGGCCACTTCTAGCTTGAGGCTACACCGCTCTATACGTCTTAGTCAATTTTTTAGGCTCTTGTAGAGGCCTCCCCTCCCCCTTCACATTCAATGTTTCTTGGTTGCCATTGGATTCAACATCCAATCAGACCTGAACTGTTTATTCCACACTACCAATACTCGAAGTTTCTTCTGAAGCACTGGCCTCTTCGGAATCACTGTAGTTGTTCCACCCTTCATCATCAGAGTCATCTCTCCAATCCGTGTTGCATCTAGTATACTATGGGTTGGGTTTGTCTTGGAGAGATGGATGATGTTTCACCCAAGCCAACTGATCAGACTTCTGCCCTTGTAAGTTTGATGGAGTGAAAGAGGGCCAAGCAGGATCCAAATACCATCTCCCTTCGACATGTCCTATTTACAAACCTTGTACAGTATTAAACACAATGCAATTTCATTTTTTTTAAAGATATATAAAAAATAAACTTTATTAAGGAAAAAAGATTAAAGAGGATACATCAGGGCGATAAGACATCACCCATCAACGAACAAACTCACACTTACATCTAAACCCCTTAGGCATAAGGTGATCAACCCTTCAAACAAACATGACATCCTAAAAAATCCCATCCCAATTACCACTACCAAAATCCCAAATAAAATATCGCAAAAACCCCTACCACATAACACAAAAATAACAAACAAAAACACAAATCCATACAACCCATCCACCCCCTACCTTAATACAATGAGTAGAAAGCTTGTTGAATTAAAAAAATATGAAATAAAAGGAGTTTCTTGAAGAAAGAAGGAAGAGAGAAGGAGAAGAAGAGAAGAAGAGAATTTGAAAAGAAAGGAGGGCAATAATCTAGCCGCCCCCTTCACTTAAAATTTATATTAAAAATAATAGAACAATACAAAGACAACTATGCCCTTATAGAGCGACAAAACATAAAACAGCATATATAAGACACAAAAACATAATAAAATTTGGACTCACATAACTACTCCCCACCTCCTATCTAACAACTAACATAAAACATCTAGTCATAAAAATCATCATAAAACTGATTAATCTTCAACACTCCCCCTCAAGTTGGGAGTAAATGTCACACATTCCCAACTTGCGTAAATCGTATTCAAGCTTGTTTTTTGCCACCTCTTTAGTGAGAACATCAGCTAGCTACAACTCTGAAGAGACATAAGGCAAACAGACTTCTCCGGTTGTTACCCTTTCTCTTATAAAGTGTCTATCAAATTCAATGTGTTTTGTCCTATCATGCTGAATTGGATTGTGGGCAATATTGATTGCAGCCTGATTGTCACAGTATTACTTCCTTTGTGAAATGAAGATCCCATGCTTAGATCTAGCAACTTCAATCCCCAAGAAGTATTTGAGCTCACCAACATCTTTGATCTCAAATTCTTGCTGCAATGATTTTTTGAGATCATCAGTTTCCTCCAGATCATTTCCTGTCACCACTGTATCATCCATATACACAATCAGAATTGACACTAGAGTATCTCTCCTCTTCACAAAGAGGGTGTGATTAGACTGTGTCTGTGTGTATCTAAAACGGATGAGTGCCCCTCTGAACCTATCAAACCAAGCCCTAGGTGACTGTTTCAATCCATACAGAGGTTTTTTGAGTCTGCACACCTTTCCTTTACCAAGATTTTCAAAAAAGCCTGCTGGAATGTCCATATATACCTCCTCCTGTAAATCACCATTGAGGAAGGCATTTTTTACATCAAGTTGGAACAAGGGCCATGGATAGGTGGCTGCTAGAGATAAAAGGATACGAACTGAACTCATCTTAGCTACTAGTGCAAAGGTTTCTAGATAATCAACACCATAGGTTTGAGTATACCCTTTTGCTACCAACCTTGCCTTGTACCTCTCTATCTTGCCATCGGCCTTATACTTAACTGTGAATACCCATCTACATCTGGTTGTCTCCTTGTCTGGGCGAAGATCAACTTTTTCCCAAGTTTGGTTTTTGACCAAAGCTTCCATCTCATCTTGTATGGTTGTTTTCCACTCAGGTTTGGAGAGAGCCTCAGTAACTTTCCTGGAAATAGATACAAAATCTAGGGAAGAAAGAAAAGCACGGTAGGAGGGTGATAAGGTATTGTAGGAAAGATGGTGTGAAATGTAATGAGCTGTACACTTTCTCTTCCCCTTACGAAGTGCATTGAGAAGATCAAGGTCAGTGGGATCAACTACAGCAATGGTGTTAGGGACAAGAACATTATCATGAGAAAACATAACAGGCTCAGGCTCAAGAGGAATACCTAGAATTGTATTTTCCGAATCTAGAGTTTCAGAAGGACTGATAGAGAGTGGTGTCGGTTAAGGATGTGTGGAGTCAACCATCATCTGTCGGTGCTGGTATTTCTGTAAGGTTGCCCGTAATGGCTCAGGTTATGAAACTGGAGGTGCAAGTGCTGGCTAGCAGATGAAGGCACCAAAGAAACAGGAAGAGGAACAGATTGTGAGTTCTCCTCCCCAAAACTCTCCCCAAGGAGAACAAGAAGAAGAAGGTGGATTCAAGGAAGGTAACATCCATTGTGACAAATCTGCTCCTCGACACTAGGTCATAACAGCAATACCCCTTTTGGTTCTGAGCATACCCAAGAAAAATACATCTCCTTTAATTGCTCTCTAGGCTCTTCTTCCACCTCCCCGGATGCTTCCTTTGAAAAATCCCCCCCCCCCCTCTCCAAGAAGAATAAGCCCAAGATTTTACTAATCTCCACCTCTTTGTTCAACATCATTTCCATATCTGCTACTCTCTCGATTTCATGAGTCTCATATATAATTACTTCACTCCTTTTAGCTGATTCTATACCATCCTCATTATCTTGTATGGGTCTAGTTCTATATTTTTGTTTCTTTCGATATACTCTTGAAATGGACTTTCCTTTTTCACCCTTTTCATCATCCTTCTCAACATTCTTCTTTGCTGAATATTGCCCCCTCTCCCTCTTCTCCATTTATCTTCTTCCCCGACTGTTCTCCCTTCTGTTCCCTTCTTTTTCTACCTCCAACATTTCCATCTTTTTGATATCAACTTCTCTTACCCTGTCATCTTCTTTTGGAGGTTCTTTTTCCGATTGAAAACGTTAATCATCCTTGGATTCCTCCCTCCCTTCTTTGAGTTCTCTCGCTGATTCTCCTCTTTCTTCTAGCTCGACCCCCTCTGAAGAAGACACAACACAAGTGGCAACTATGTTTGATAAGACCCAATTGCTCGAGTTTATAAAGCTCTATCCCCAACCCCATGCAATCTAATTTTTTGAACTGCTGGCGGATCAGCAGGTTCACTTAAACACTTTTCAGTCCTCTTCTCTTTTATTGATGAACCCCACCCACTAACCCACTCAACCCCTTTCGTTGCTACTTCCCCATGTGAGCCTCTCTCTTTATTAACAGCATCCATTTCCCCTATTGCATTTGGCTTTGGTATTCAAAACATCTCACCCGATGTCTTCCCTGCATCCTTCCCAACGTCGACGTCATTACACTCAAGTGCATATTCAGTTGCACATGCCTTGCCACTTGTAACCCATCCAGCCATGTCATCATCTTCCTCCTTTGTCCATAGGCCTCCAATGTGCAGCATGAGGGATCCTCTGGCTTGGATCTAGCAATCCTCAAGCGTAATGCTCTCAGATCATGTTTGTTATACAAAAGCAGAGCACCTCCTGTCGCCGTCACAATCTGCTCAAGAATATATCTCTTCCAAAGATTGAAAGGCAGGCCCAGCAGATTCAAGTGAATGCGCCCGTCATGCTGATGATAGACTAATAGCAGAATATGATCCCTCCCAGTCCAACCACGACAAAATACACACACAAGCATTCTAACATGATTGATGATAGACTAATAGCAGGATTTCTAAACCAGATACTCATGGGCCTTTCTTTTCCATCCCTCTGATTTGGTTAATGTATAATTATATATTTGTGCATATGTTTGGATTTTCATTTATTGCCACCAACTTACTTGTATATGAGGCGCCTGGAACATTTCCTGTATGGCTGCTTCAACTTCAGCCATTCCAACAGTTGCTTTTCCTGAAAAGACAAGAAAACATGAATGCTAGTTAGAGAACCATTCGCCTAAGGGAAAAGTAGATATAACTCTCAAAGTGAATAATTAAAGCTAACTGTATCACAAAATGCAGATGAGCAACACCAGAACCACAATCAATGTAAGGATCAGATTACACAACTTTAAGGGAGAAGGATGTTTTTGTGGTCCAAGTGTTGCAACATTCAATCAGTATGAAGAAGTGGTTATTATAGGAAGAAAAATATGACAAGGATTTCAAAGAAACATCAGCTTCATTGAAAGTTTTCTTGTAATTTTGGATTTTTTTTATCAGTGTAATTTTGGATTTTAGTGTTGTATAGTCTTTCTCATTAGAGAGAGCCAGATTGGCAATGTGGTATTGTTAGACCCAACAATCTCCCCTACCCCTGTTCTCTCTTCCTTTCTTCCTTTTCCTTTTCTCCCATTTACTCTATCCATTATTTACTGTTGGAACTTTATATGCTTTTTTAAAACAGTTTGTGCCACAAGGGCAGCCTTGTGGTGGTACAAGACTGAACCAAGAAATTTAAATGGCTGATACGAAAGTTCTTCTAATCATAAGATGCATTGACCTGCATTTGAAACACATAGGGTTGTTGTTGACTGTACAGGCTGCTGAGGCCAACTGGCAGTGTGCTGACATCAGCAGGTCTTCTTGTAAGTCACAACCAGCAGTAGAAGATCCCCTAATTTCAAGGGTGCTTTAATACCAAATTACAAAGATTTAAGAGAAAAAGGAAGAAGAGAAGAGAGATTTGTCTCAAATCAATAGTGGGCTTAGTGTTCACCCCCAGAAACTTAGTATTTGAATAGAATAAAGAAATTACAACATACTCTTAACTAGGCACCCTAATACCCTTACTCTCTCAACAGAGTCCACAAGAACCAAAACAAGGTTGTTAATGTGTGGTTGGGATAAGATCAATCCTCATGCATACCAGAGATTAGAAACAACAATTTCTATAGACAATATCCTAAATAGATCCTTAGGAGCATGGAAAACACAAAGTACTTGAAAGGCAGTAATTGAATTGAATGCAAGTTCTTATCAGATTATTTCCCTAATGTGGTGTTGCTTTCTTCTTCAAACTTTGAAATGCATGACCTCATAACTTAGAAAAAAAATAATACCTGAAGCAGCAGGATCATGATCAGAGTGTGATTTCATAAGTCGATAATCTGCTAATTCTGCTGCACGCCTACAAATTTCCAGGGCACGACGAGCATCTCCTGAAATAGCTGCTACCTGAGTACAAGAGCAGGTCCATGTGATGATTGAGTTTAGAAAACAGAACACACACAGAATTAAATATAAGATTATAAGACAAAATGAAATAAAATATAACAAGGGATTTACCTTTCTTGATGCAAACTCTATAGCTTGTTTGTCAAATGCATCAATGCCTTTAAGACGAGTTGAAATTATCTCTTGAAGTTGTTGATAATTATAGGGGCCAAAGCAGAGCCTTTGAATCCCCATGCGGCTTGAAATGCGAGGAAGCAACTTCTCCGGAAGATCCATGGTATTAGCTATTCCTGAATTTCAATTTGTAGCAAAGGTAACAGAATTTTACAATTTTAGCAACAACATGGTTCACCATGAAAAAAACATGATGAAGGGTTATACCTCACCTATTACAACCAATTTTGAGTGTGGTTTTGTAGGCCAGTCAAGAATGTTATACAGAACCTGCAGTTGGAAGAAACTCTCACAATTCACTAATAGCAAACTTCTAAAATTCATGAAAGAAAATAGCCACGAAAATGGTGCAGATTATACAAATTATACATGCAAAAATTACCGACTGATTCCTGGTTACAAGAAGATCAAGCTCATCAATAAGTAGGATGCATGGTTGGTTGTCCTCTTTATTGACTTTATTACCCTCTGAAAATCGTTCATTTAGCAAGTGCAAAGCCTTTTTCCAACTTACCCTGTGACCACTTAGTGCCTCATATATAACCTGCAAGTACATTGAATTGCGATATTATAGGAAGGAGAAGGAATGCAAACAAGATGTGGATGAGGATAAATTTTCATGAAACTTACCCTGTAAATATTCTCTGGTGAAGCCAATTTTAAACCATTAATTTCTACAAAACAATATGGTTTTATACTTCCTGCATCAACTTCAGACTTTAGATTCCTCATCACTGCAAGTACACTCATAGTCTGCAGTATGGTGTAGATAGAGTCAACAAATAAGTAATCACTCATTAAAGCAGCACAGGAATAAGAAGCAAACCAATAATTTATCTGAAAAAACATAAGCCAGAATGTTATTAGGTAAGCACAACCACTACCTTGCCAGTTCCAGGAACACCATGGATGTACAAGCAACGCCCTAGACATTGATCATCACAAATGGCACCTTTCAGAAAAGCAGTAATCTCCTTCATCTCCCTGGAATTTAAGCATGTATTGGAGACCTAATGCACATACAGTGAAAACCTGAAAAAAAAATCAATACCAGTACATACTTGTTCCTGCAGGGCAGTGATTTTGGTAAAGTTGCCAACAAGAGTGAAGCTTTTGCTCTTTCAAGTTCAGTTGGCTTGTGGGATCTCACATGCTCTGGGATCTTCTTTGCCCCTATTTTCTGAAGGCCAAAAATCCGTCCCTTGCATGAGTTCTGTATGAAAGACATAGATGTTAGTATTACCCACCAATTAACCATCAAATTAAAGGCTTTAAATATATAATTCAGAAAAGTGACCACACCGCAGCCACTTCATGAGCAGGGGATTGTCCAGCTAATAAACCCTTCTCATTCTTCTCTTCGTATTCCAATTCTTCTTCTGTATCAAAACCTGATTCCTTGCAAGAATCCCAATCTTCATCACTATCAGCTTCTCCATCCTAGCAAATAAAAAAGACTTAATAAAATCTGTACTCCAAGGTTCAACCCCTATAATACCACCATTTGCTTGAATTCAGAAATACCAAAATGCTGCTTTCTAGTGCCTTAAAGACCTACCTCATCATTGTTATCAATCTCTGCTATACGCTTGAAACTGTGCCAATGGATATCATATTCATATTCACAAAGAAATACATCATCTCCCTCATTGTTGGCTTTAGAAAATTCCTTGGGGTTCATAACATAGCAATGCCTAAGGACAGATTCCATCTGGCTAATAATACACAGGTTAGCATAGTTGCTTCATTGCATGAGACATCAAACTTCTCAAAAAGTTGACATTACATTGAGAAAATAATGTTGCATATTCTTTATCTTAGATTGGGGCCATTGCTTGGTGTAATGATAAAATCTTGGGCTAACAAGCATGAATGCACAAGTTTGAGTCTGAGAGCAGCCACTTTGTGCCAAAAAAAATGAAAAAAAAAACAAGGTTAGGCCCATACCCAGTCCATCCCTCCCAAGTCCCCAGATAGCTGGGACCAACACTGGGTTACAACCCTTATCATAGCTTAAGACCATCAGTTTCTTGTACAAAAATCCAATAAAATGAAGAAGAAAGGAACAGTCACTTGATGCAATAAATTTGGTCAACTGAAATGGGTACCATGTAAAATTGTTGAAACATATATGATATGACATCAAAGTGTTCTTGCTTGATATGTGGGTTTATGATCATGCAACTACTAGTTCTAGTGGTTAAAAAGGTGAAGAATTTTGGTATGCCAAGTATAGCAATGGACCTGCTATATCTACAATAGCTGATTGATGACATTGATTCTTTGATGTGTCATTTTTCATGGAAAAAAATTTCCTATGTTGCAAACTATCCAAGTTCTCAATAACCCAGATTAATTTTCACGCTTCTAACTAACAGCAGTCCCATTCTATACAAACTGTAACTGGTTAATGTTGTTCTTGATATAACCTAAATATAGGATATATTTCTGGGGAGTTGAGGAGTGGCTGTGTACAAGAATTTTAGTTTTCATCCATCCCTATCTTTATAATCATGGTTTCACAAGGTAAATTCATAGCCCTATGCAAAGTCATAATAGAGAAGCATTTGTCTCAACAAAGAATTTTATTTATTCAATAGATATTGTTCTCTCCATGTTATTCCTGCACTAATTTATTTCCAAGCATTTGGTGATCTCAGATGTGTCCATATCAATGGAACATGAGACTCATTGTTTTGATGAATCACTTCTTCAGACAAGAGAAACTTATGTAAACACTAACTCAAAATCTTACTTATTAGATAAAGTCATTGAAGGCAAACTTACTTATTAGATTACATCATGGAAGGCACCACTTTCCTAAGGAATTGGCCATGACATATCCGATCTATGCATAATATCATGAAACATGGAGACATGTTTTGAGATCTAGTCCCATAGTAATCATTGAATTGTCATGGCCAACCCCAGCCTTAAAAGTTAACAGGTTATCACTGAAAAAACAGAAAATAGAACTGGCATAACATATTTCCATGAAGGAAAAGAAAAACACAAGTAATAAATAAATGCCACTAACCTCAATGTCAGCAAAATCATTTGTGCGATAAAGCTCTCTCCTTAGATTGTGTGGTTGTCTTCCTGCTACAGTCTCTTCTGGAATTATATACCAGCGTCCCCGAAACCAGTAGGCCCCGTCTGGTTCTTTCCATAAACTAGTCCAATTCCAAAAGAAAAATATCAATAGACTACATGAGACGATGATAACAAAAAGTGCAAATACTCTACCAAGAGCATCTACCTCTCAATACGTGCAGCCCATAGATCGCTTGAAAGGAGCTTCTCTCTCAAGGTTCTACTCCGTTTCTTCCCCTTCGGAGGGGATGGAAGTTCAACCGCCTTTCCCATTTTCCGAGTCTCACAAAATCCACAAATCCAATCCCCTTCTGGAACAACCTTTAAAGGAGGTTTGAGACATCTGAGATGAAATCCGCCCAAGCAACCATCGCATTCAATCATCCGAGCCTTTCCAGACTTGAAGCATATGCGACACTCTTCCACTTCGGGATCTTCATCATCAGAGCTTGCGTCCTCTCTCCTCTTGACATAAACAGCATCTCCTATACTGAATTCTCCTTCGTCATAGACGACCTTCTTGTAATACACACGCCTCTTGGGTACGTCATTGTTCTTTTTCTTTGTGTGAGACGTCGAGTTTCTCAAAACCCGAGCTCTCGTTTTAGCTGCTTCCGCCCCCTCAGACCTTTTCCTTTTCTTTGACTCTGAACAATCAGGAGAAACCGGAGCAAATGAAACTCCGACCGATGCTTTCTCCGAACGTTTGGTCGATCTTCTGCCATTTTTAGCGGATTTTGGAGTTTCTCCATGAATGTTAGTGGTTTCTTCAACTTGAAGAAGTGATTTGCAGGGGGGTGGGGGGCTGGAACCCAAAGAGATCCGCCGCGACGACCGGCGAGGAACCAAAGCTTCCGGTGTCGGGGGGATCGAAACGGCTGAAGATGGCGACGATTTGAGAATCCGAGGAGAGGATCGTTTCGTTAATTTGGGGGTTTCGGCCATCTCCCTGCAGATGAGCTGCTAGGGTTTGTGAGCTCAGAGACAGTGGAGGGAGGGAGACCAGGAAGCTCGGCATTTCCTTTAGAACGACAGGTTTTGGCGGGAAACGTTCCCTCCCTTTTGAGCCGTTGAGCTCATCTGCTCGTGAGGTTGTAAGCCTAATCCAAGTCCGATGGGATTCGAATTAGTTCACTCCGGATCGGATTGCATTTTTCAACAATTGAAATAGGTTCAAAACTTCAAACGTAGATGGATCAGATCCGAACCTAAACCCGATTACAACGACTTAGATCCCACGATAAGAACAAAGTAATGGCAACGGGGCGGGGCGGCGCGGGTTCTGCATATCCGTCCCAACGAGCGGTTAAAATTCCTGCCCCGACTGAGGCGGGGAGGGGGCGGAGGGCCGTGGAGCTCTGACGGGGCGGGTCAAATTGCCAAAGCAATTTTAGGGGCAAAACCGCAAACAAAAGTCCAGGGTGGGGGTTTTCTGTACAAGACAAAGTACAGAGCGGCTATCTGTAATTTATTTATAAAATAGAAGGTGTTTTAACTCTAATCTGTCCATCGCATGACTCCTCTAAATGAAAGATAAAAGGTTATGTGAGTTTTCTAGTAATTTAACGAAGTAACTGGGCGTGGGGCCTGTGTGGTGAGGTGGTAGGGTGAATATGCCGTCGACGCCTTTCTATGGTTAATTGGAATCGGAAACCGTAGCCAGGGAAAAGGAGGGCGAGAAGTAGAGAGGGAGGAGAGAGAGAGAGTGCACGACAGTGAGGCAGAAAATCGAAGGCCCTAGTTTCTCTCTCTCCGTAATTCTGTAAAGAAGTCGTCCCTTTCTTCGATAATTAGGGTTTCTACGACGAACTCAAAATGGTCAGTATCTCTGATAGAATTTCGGTTCCAAATTTTCATATGGTCAGTATCTCTAATTGTGTTTATTTTATATCATTTTATATTCATGAAGCGTTTAGGCTTTAAGGGTACGGTTCTCTTTTTGTTTCTCTTTTTATCTATCTTTTTCTTGAATCAAAGACGATTGACTTTGCTGTTTTTTTGGATTGACACCTTGTTTCTAACCTGAGTGTCGTATTCTAAGATAGAATTTTATGTTTTAAGCAATTCGGGTATTCTTTGCGATGATCATTTACAGGATAATAAAGCATTATTCCCCGAAACAAATTATAGTCATACTAGAGAGAATCATTAATCTTCCTATATTTTGGTGCATATGGGTTCATCCACCAATCTTTTCAGATTCCTTAAACTGGTTTCACCACAGTTTTCACAGAAAATAATTATGTCATCAGAAAATTGCAAATGAGACACCACCACTTCTGATCTACCCATTCTCCAACCTTACACTGCTTTTCTTGATCAGCTTTGGTGATTTGTCTACTCAAAACCTCAGCCACAAAAGTGAATAAGAATGGAGATAAGGGGTCACCCTGTCTTAGTCCTCTTTTAGCCTGGAAGAAATCCGGTGCTATCCCATTCATCAAAATAGAAAAATGTGCTGAGCTAATACATTCTTTAATCCACATCCTCCATATTTCACCTAACCCCATCTTTTCCATTAAATTCAATAGGAAGGACCAATCCATCATATCATAAGCTTTTTCAAGGTCCAATTTACAAATCAAACCTTTGTCACCTTGTTTTCTCTTAGCTTCTACACACAAATTTGATCCACAATTTGTCTCCCCTCTACAAAAGCTCCTTGGTTCTGAGAGATAATATAGGGCAGTACAGTCTTCAACCTACCGGCCAGGACTTTAGCAATGATTTTATACAAGCTACCCACAAGACTTATCAGTCTGTAATCCTTAGGGGTTTTGGCCTCCTTTTTTGGCACTAAAGCAACAAAAGTTGCATTTGCTCTAGGCGATAATTTTCCTTCTTGATACAATTCCACAAATACATCCATTAATTCATCTTTCAAAATTTCTCAGCAATCCTGATAGAAAGCCATTGAAACCCATCTGGCCTCGGTGCTTTAGATCTATCCATCGAGAATATTGCTGCTTCATGTATCTCCTCAATAGTGAAGGCTCTTTCTAGGAGGTTAACTTCGGATTCTGGCACTCTGTTCCACTGTAAATCTCCCAATTCTGCCATGTTTTCATTAGAGGATGCTAGGATTTACTTAAAGTGATCCACAAAGCATCCTTCAATTTCCTCTTTTGCAGTTATCACTCTTCCATCCACCTCTACACTGTAAATTTGGTTTTTCTGTCTTCTCCCATTTGCTAGAGAGTGGAAAAAACAAGTATTTCTATCCCCTTCTAGAAGCCATTTACATCTAGATTTTTGCCTCCAAGAAATCTGTTCTTTTCTTAGAATCTCTTCCAATTGCACTTTTAAGTTCCATGTTTCTATTCTATCCTCCACCCTACACTCTTTCTTGGCCTCCTTTTGGTCCACTTCCTCTATTTTCCTGGCTAAATCCTCCTTTATGACCTCAAGTTTTCCAAAATCCTCTTTGTTCCACTCCTTGACCTTTTCCTTCAATCTTTTCAGTTTCTTAGAGAATCTCACCACTTTGTTTCTAGCTCTAATCCCATCTTTCGACCACCATTCTTTTAACCTTTGCAAAAATATTGGAACTTCTAGCCACATGTTTTCAAATCTAAAGGGTGTGGGGCCACCAATAAGATTTTCTTGGTAAAGGCTTAAAGGGCAATGATCAGAAGTCACTCTAGGTAGAGCTTTTAGTGTCAAAGTGCCCCACAGCTCTTCCCAATCAATGGAGAACAGGAATCTATCCAGTTTTGAGCACCACTTGATTTTCTTGGAGATTTGACCAGGTGAAAGAGGCTTGTAACAAGGTCGGCTCTTTTAGTTCTAGGGACTCAATCAGGGAATTGAAGTGTTTCATGCTAGATGTTAAGGGTTGGTTGGGGTTGTTTGTCTCATTTGTATATCTTATTTCATTGAAATCCCCACCCAAACACCACGGACCCTCCCATATGCCTCTAATTGCAGCTAATTCTTCCCAGAATGAGTTCCTCTCTCTATATGAATTCAGCCCATACACATTAGTCAATATCCACTCCCTTCCATCACTCATCCTCTTGGCTTTTATTGATACCGAGTACTAACCTATTAGTTCCTTCTGACAGTCAACTTCCTCATTCTTCCACATTGTAAGGATTCCACCCGAGGCACCCCACGACGGGGCAAAAGACCAACTTAGACCCCTACAACTCCAGATACTTCTTTTCCACCTTCTGTCCAAGTCTGAAAGCTTTGTCTCCTGTAACATGACTATAACCGGTCTCTCCTTTCTTATCACATTCCTAATGATTCTCCTTTCCTTTGCACTTCCTAAACCGCTTACATTCCAGCAAAGCACTTTCATTTCACTCTTTTTTCCCCGACCCTAATTYAATCCCAAATCYTATTCTCCTCTTTTCTTCTCCCTTTTCCTATTTACAGTCTTCTCATAGGACACACCACAGGCTAGCCTTTCCACCTCCATTCTTCTCTTTCTTTTTTTATCATCTTCTACCCCCTTTCTAAGATAGACCTTTCCTTTGGCGAACTTCCTTTTGGCTTCTTTTTGTTCCTCTCCTTTTACTTTGGGTATCTCTCTACAGCCTTCTTCTCCCTCATCCAAATGCAGTCTTCCTTTTCCTTCTCTTGGGTACCTGCAATAACTTCATTTCCCCTCTCATCCTTTTCCAAAAACCATCACATTAAACAATTTCTCCTCATTGTCTTTTCCACCACCCCCTCCTTTTTCTATTGCACATAGGTCATTATTCGCCACCAGTGACGTTTCAACAGCTGGAACTGCAAAATCCAAAGGCTGAAGGTTACTACAAGGAAAAAAATCAAATGAGTTTTGACAGAAAAGTGGGGGCGAAGACAGAACTGGGTTGAGAGGAGGGGGGAAGAGACTCCCTGATATTTTTTTGAAGAAAAAGTTAACTTTATTTGGAGAAAAGAAAGGTACATGAGAAGATGTACACAGCAATTAAGCACTCAGAAAGTTACATAGGCAAAAAACTATCACTAAAAAGGGAATCCTTGTGAGCGCCAGATTTAGCTAGACTGTCGGCTTTAGAATTTAGCTCCCTCGGAATCCAGACTACATGAGCATTTAGAGAAGAGAGGATGTCTCTCGCTCGCTTCAGCCAGGTAGTGGGCTAAAGCCCAAGGCCCATTGTCCGGGTTAGAAAGCCAGTTAATGGTGTTGGCTGAATCTCCTTTAATGGTAAGGTTTAGTAAGCCCATGTCTTTTGCAATCCTGATGCCGGTTAGAGC